GTGAAATAGGAACTAGACATGACTAGTCACTGAACACATTCTTTTTAGTGAAATAGGAACTAGACATGACTAGTCACTGAACACATTCTTTTTTTTTTTATTTTTGATTTTCGAGACAGGGTTTCTCCGTAGCTTTTTGGTTCCTGTCCTGGAACTAGCTCTTCTAGACCAGGCTGGCCTTGAACTCACAGAGATCCACCTGCCTCTGCCTCCCGAGTGCTGGGATTAAAGGCATGCGCCAACACCGCCCGTCTTGAACACATTCTTGAGGTGATGTTTAAATATTTTTTCTGAGCCAGGCAGTGGTGGCACACACCTTCTATCCCAGCACTCGGGAGGCAGAGACAGGCGGATCTCTGTGAGTTCGAGGCCAGCCTGGTCTACAGAGAAAGTTCCAGGACAGGCTCCAAAGCTACAGAGAAACCCTGTCTCAAAAACAAAACAAAAATATTCATCATAATAATAATAGAATAAAAAAAAACAAAAAAATTATTTCTGTAGGGAAGGGTTCTGTACCCTAAAAATGTTTCCTTTTTTTCCCTTCTGTTTAAAACTGTATATTGGCTGGGTGGTGGTGGTGCATGCCTTTAATCCCAGTATGTGGGAGGTAGAGGCAGGCAGATCTCTGTGAGTTTGAGGCCAGCCTGGTCTACAGAGCTAGTTCCAGGACAGCCAGGGCTACACAGAGAAACCCTGTCTCAAAAAACAAAACCCAAAACAGAAAACAAAAAAACAAAAAACACCCCCACAAAAAAAAACACAAAAAAAGAAAACTTATTTGGGCTGGAGAGGTGGCTCAAAGGTTAAGAGTGCTGCCATTGCAAGCCATCAGAATTCCATTCAGTTTCCAACACCCCTCACATGCACAACCACACACATTTATGTCAAAAATTAAAAACAAAGTCTTTGATTTAAATATATCAAATCAGGCCGGGAAGTGATGGCACACGCTTTTAATCCCAGCACTCAGGAGGCAGAGGCAGGTGAATCTCTGTGAGTTCGAGGCCAGCCTGGTCTACAAGCCAGGACAGGCACCAAAGCTACAGTGAAACCTTGTCTCAAAAAAACCAAATATATATATATATTTATTTATATCTCAAATCATTCTACTAGAATGTTATTTATTATGTAAACTGTATTGTTATACATAATAAAGGGGTGACAATAAAATACCAATTCATGGGTGAAAAAAAGTTCCTATCTTTTCAAGTATTCTTAAGTTGCTTATTTTTTAATATGTAAATTTTTCCTGCATGTGACTATTCACATGTATTCATGGTCCCCACAGAAGTCAGAAGAGGGCATCAGATCCCCTGGAACTGGAGTCACAGGCATCTGTGGGCTCCCAGGTGGGTGCTGGGATTCAAATCCAAGTCCTGCAAAAGTAGTCAGGGCTCTTAACTGAGGAGCCACCTCTCTGGCCGTCAAGTTGGTTATTTTCAATGTGAGTGGTGGAGAGATTTACAAGTCCAACAACAAGGGACTGATAAATGGTCAAGACGATTATAGCCCGTCTAGGCATTGTAGTGCACACTTGTGATTTCAGAGCTCCAAAGGCTGAGGCAGGAGGAGTGCCTCGTGTTTGAGGCCAGCCTGTGATCTTAATTTAATTTTCACACAGTGATTTTAATGCCACACCTGGATACATAGCAAAACTCTGTCTCAAGAAGTCAATCTAGCAGGAGCTGGAGAGATGGCTCAGCTGTTAAAGCACTGGTTGCTCTTCCAGAGGGCCAGGGTTGATCCCACCACCCACTCGCCAGCTCTCAACTGTCTGTAACTCCAGTTCCAGGGGATTGAACACCCTCCTCTGGCCTCTGTCAACACTAAGCTTGTGGTGTTACAGACATATGTGGAGGCAAAACACTCACACACATAAAGTAAAATAGTGAAATAATAAAAATGAAAGACAAATATACATGTAGCAAAGTCAACAACATCAAAGTTTGTCTATAATATGATCTCATGGAAAACATTTGCATAGATAAAAACACCAGAAGAATATAGCCTAGAATATTCACAGTTTGCTTTTGGGTGGGAGACTTCTGGGTTAGTTTTAAATTTTAATCATACTCTGAAATGTTTCTCAAATGCTGTGTAAATAACACATTTGAACAAACTTTAAACAATTCATATATACTGACTAGCAGCTAGAGTTTCTCAACCTTTACCTGGATTTATTAATTTCAGGGAAAAATAATGAATTAATGCTAAAGTGAGCTAGAATTCCTACAAGAAGGAGAAATAAAAAAGGAAGGTGAATATCTTGTTCTCAGCTCTACACCCTGTGGAGCATCACTGACACTTCTGTAAGGTCATCACACTCCTGACGATACCCCAGAACTTACAGAGGGCGTGCCAGGCATCGCAGAGTTACAGACTCTCATAACCACCTGAGTTCCCATCTTCAGTGTCCCTAGAAGAGACTATTCGAGGCCACCTTAAAATAGGAAAAGAATGATAAGTGAAAATACATAGGAGAAGGAAAAACTTCAAAAGCTAAATCAACCTAGGAGGAGTCAGGTCCCAACTTAACTCATTTTGGTATAAGACTTAGGAGCCTGAGGAGCAGCTAAGTTCTCTTATGTGTTGTGTGTAGGAGGGGATGGAGATGGTGACTGCAGAGGCCAGAAGTGGGGCTGGGTCCTCTGGAGCTGGAATTACTGGAGGTTGTGAGCTTGGCTGTTTTGAACCAAATGCAGGTCCCCTGGAAGAGCAGTAACCACTCTTGACAGCCGAGCCATCTCTCTAGTTCTTCAGTGACATTTTAAAACAATTTTAATCTAGGTTTTCACGGAAATAAGAAGGATGCTTTCTTGCCCCCTCATCTTTCCTACACTATTCAAAAAACATCCATAGGATATATTCAGATAGCAGAAGAAACACCAGATGATCTGCTGCAGACACACATTTCATTCTTCAGAAACTTATTCTTTATACTCAGAACTTTTGACCTCCACAGACAGCATATACATTGAGGTGGAAGGCGAGAAAGGGATCCATATAACCCCAGGCTGACCTCCAATTTTCTTTGTAATAGAAATTATATAAATATAGAAATAGAAATATAGAACAGAGAATATGGGAATAGAGAATGACTCGGAACTCCTGTCCCTCCTGTCTCCACTCTTCAAGTGGTGAGGTCACAGGTGAACATGCCACACCTGGGTTAGCATTTATAACTTTTTTCTTTTTAATTTATTCATTTATTTTATGGGAGCGCCCTATCTGCATGTACGACTTTATGCCAGAAGAGGGCATCGGATCCCACTATAAATGATTGTGAGCCACCAAGTGGTTGTTAGGATTGAACTCAAGACCTCTCTCTGGAAGGGCAGCCAGTTCTCTTAATCTCTGATGCATCTCTCCAGCCAAGCGTTTATAATTCTAAGGCAGAATTTGTCTACAGAATTTTCTGTTTACATAATGCTACCTACAGCATTTTTATTTGGTCCTCGTTGTTAAGAACCCTTAGAAACGGTTATTTTGTTTACTCCTAGACAACACACAGAAAATAAGCGAGGGAGTTGCTCCACCAGTTCGCAGGGAAAGCAGTCTTCCAGCCCACGTCTTTGGAACCCACTTACAAACTGGGTCTGTGTCAGTGAACAAGCCTGACGATTTCTGGGTCGGTGGTGGTGATAATGATGATGACGAGACGGCTGAATTGTATGTAATTCTACAACCGTTGTAAATTCGCATAAACTCTCTACAAAACCGATACTATCGACACTAATGCGTGCGCGTGTGTGAGCGCTGTAATTCCCTTGTCAGTACTCAACTTCAGGGAATCATCCTCTTAAGGAACCAACAGGTACATTTTGGGAGAGAGGTACGATGGGTTAAGAAAGGGAAGTGAATTACAGCTCATCTGCAAGCTCTAAAGTCTGAAGCAGAACTGTACACTAAGACTCTACGGGGTTCAGAGAGAGCTCAGACCCCAAAACTTCTGCCCCTTCCCCCACCCCACCCCCACACCTCGCCCCCTCTATATGTGTCCCTACTTCCGATCTGGATGCTCAACAGGTGATAATATATCTCAGCTACCCAGCACTTTTCGACACCTACCTCTTAAATTATCGGCCCGTTTGGCTTAGCATCTTCCAGGCTGGCGGACAAGTCTTCTGAGCTGCGCGTTTCTGCTGCCATGGAGACACGGAGGTTTACATAGGTCGGGCCTGCTTGCCTGGGACAAGAGCCAGCCAGTGCAAGCCTTGGTCTGCCTACTGTTTTGCAGGCCCCGCCTCCAGTTGACCAAGAACCCGCCCCTACCATTCTGGCCCCGCCTTCTAGCGTCCAGACTACACCCCGTGCCAGCCTCCTCGCTAGGCCTTACGTCTGCATGTTCCCACCCCGCTCATAGTCCCACCCACTTCCCGCTTACAGCCAATGGGAGCTTGCCCTCTGTTCGCCGAGCCGAATCCCAACTGCTGACTAGAGAGTATGCGGGCATCTCTATTGGCTGGACCCTTCCACAATGTGGGCTGGGACACGTTGCAAAACCCGGCCCCAGGAACAATCACTCAGCCCGTTCTTCATACTATTTATTTATTGATCCTAACGGTTCCTTAGACGAGCGCTTACAGTCCTGCAAGTAAAGTTTCTCCAGGCTGTCTTCTCCTGGCTGTTAGTGTGCGCAATTTGAAGTCCTTGCGGACCGTGGTTGGAGAAGACTTTAGAATCAGTCCCGGTTACCATCTCTGTGCTAAGGTCTGGAGCCCTTGATCCAGCTAGTAGGTTAATTGTCCTCAGCAGTCCCCGGGGCTGTGTGCAAAGGCTCAGAGAGCTCCCCCAGAGCGCTTCCCCGGCGATTTTGGAGTAAAGGTGTGTAAAGGGGACGTGAATAGCTGAGCATAGTGGTCACGTGTCTGTAGTCCCAGCACGGGGGGGGGGGGTGAGAGAGTGGAATTGATCAGGATTTCAAGGCCATCCTCAGCTGCGCAGCGAATGAACAAAAAAACCAAATATCGTTAAATAATTCCTACCAGAAACAGCCAAAGTACATACAGGGTTCTTGTTGCATTTGAGAGTTCAAATAATATTAGGGGTCAAAGGACGACTGTTTTACACACTTAAATTTTTTTTTTTTTTTTTTTTTTTTTTTTTTTTTTTTGGTACTCATCCTGCCTAGCCTTACCACACAACTCCGCAATAACAGTGGCAAACCAAAAGATTCACCGATGTTCTGGTGTCCTTTGAGATTGAAAAATGGCCAACACCCCTGTTCTCGAAAAGCAGTAGACTGTCCCCCACAGAACTGTAAAATTGTGGAAACCAGTACTTCCTTCCAAGGACTCACACCAGGGTTCCGTGGTTGCTGTCGTACCGAGGTGTGGCCTGAGGGAAGCGAAGAGTGGCGTACTCTGTAGCGGTGTCTACATGCCGGTGTTTCACCTGCTTGCTAGAGTACGGCTGCAGCTGGCTGAGCACATGAATGTCCGCATAATGCAAGTGGCTCTCCTCCGATGCGGAGTCTGAGCTTTTCTTTTGAGATACAGGCCGGTGTAACACTTGCTCGTACATTGGTCCTGTTGTTCCACAGTCCTGGGGGAAGTCAATAGAATTAAGAGAGGTTCTTGGCTTGGTTTGCCCCTCACCTCCCATGCAGAGTGGGTGAGAGGTCCCTTTACTTTGGTCCTTTGGGAGGCCAGGTAACACAGTATGAATTCCCCACACCATACATGTGTATGTATGTGTGTGTGTGCGCGCACGCACGTGTAGAAGACAGAAAACAACCTCGGGAGAGGGTCCCTGCATCCATCCTGTTTGAGACAGGGTCTTTCTTGCTCAGTGCTGCATACGCCAGGCTAGCTGTCTGGAGAATGTCTAGTGATTCCCTTGTCTCTGTTTCCCATCTCCCAGGAGAGAAACGCTGGGATCATAGAAACTTCTGCTGCCTGTGGCTTTTATGTGGGTTCTGGAGATCCGAACTCAGATAGGCAGGCTTGCGCGTAAGTGGTTTACCTGCTGAACCATCTTCCCTGACTGACACAGCAATTTCTACAGATGGTTGCAAGGACTCTGTCTGAGGGTGAAAAACCCGAGCCCTGGGAGCCCACATCTGAGTGGGTGTGGCCTGAGAGGAGACAGAAACCGGTCATTACCTTTGTGTTGTTCTGACACAGCTGCTGCTGTTGCTGCTTCAGTATGCTCAATGTGGGTCTTGCTTGGCTCCCTGTGGGGGAAGAAAGCCAACTTAAACTCATTCTCTCTTCCCTGTCTCTACTGGGACTGCCCTCTTCAAATGTCTATTAGATAAACTATTGAAGTGGGCTTCTAGCGAATCTCCCTGTCCGCCTTCCTCCTTCTTTCACTTCTATTAACCCACACCCAGACTTTCCCGGATAGACGACCTGGCCCATTCTCTCCCTGACTGTCTGTCTTCCATCCTCCTTGCTCAACAGCCAGAGCTCACACTGTGCTAGGCTCTGGGCCATACTCTGGGGAGATAAGGATGAGTAAGCCATTTCCTCTGCCTTGGGAAATCTACAGTGGACCTGGGAACAGGCTACTACAAAAATGATGTGCGTGCTCAGCCACACCAGTGGGCCACTTTCAATCAAACCATTTATTTCTCCCCCCCAAATTTGCAAGAGCTAACTCCTCTGCCTCTGCTGGCACCCTCTTCTACTGACTTGTGAACTTGACTTTATTCCCACAGCATCAGTGCCTTCTCTGTATTCTGTTATAGCATGAATGGATAATATTATAATTATGTATTTACATGAATCTGCCTCTCACAGTTGACTTTCAGCTCTTCCAGAGCTGAGACCTTGGAACCTTCCCCTGGGCTTCTCTTCCTCATTGGGAACCCACAGAATGGTTCACCTACAATACAAGAGCTTGATTGTATTTTGCGGACAAATGAAAGCATGAGCAACTAACTCTGCCACTCTGAAGTAATGGGAAAGGCAAAGTCCACAGGTTCGGAACTAGCCTTGGACCCAATAAACCAAAGATTCTTTTTGTTAGACCACCTCCCTTTGTCTTATCCAAAGTCATGTCTCTTTTCTTCACCTTCTCCAGGGATGTTGGCTTTACTTTCTTCTCTGATTTCCCCTGGTCTCAATACCCTCTCCCCTATTACCTGTTTTATTTTTCTTCTGGAAAGTTGATGGGCAGCTCCTGTGTAGACAAGCAGATCACCCATGGTCAAGAGTTCTGTATGTTCTGCCCCATCCCAGTTCCTCTGTGATCTCTCCTTAACAGTCTTGGACAACATTCTCCCACCACCCCACAGATTCGCTCTGTGCCAGGGTCAGCCTGAAAGTACTTGTAAAGGCTACAACACCTCTCCCAGATGGATGGTTCTGGAAAGTAGAGTGGTAAAACTGACATAACCAAACCCAAAATACAGGTTTAGGCAACCAGGCACTATTGCCAAGGATGTTGCTGGCTTGAAGGCTATTCTGGGATTGTCCATCAAGCTAATCCCAGTAGAGGCTGAGGGAAATCTGCCAAATTATGGAATATATTCCTGGATCCAGAAACTGAATCTTCAGTGCTATTTTTTGGGGATGGGGGTGGAGTGGAGTCTTTGGCAACCAGGGAGTTCAGGGAGTCCTAGGAACTGTGACAACCAGGGCTATCTAGTCCTGCAAAGCCCTCTTCCAGTAAGTGGCTACCCTTCTTGCTGCCCCATCCTTGTTTTTAGTTAACAGAAGTGAGAAACGCTTTGCTTAACCTTTAACGCCCTTTGGAGCACTCCATCTCCAGAACTAGGAACACTGAATTTGGGAGGTGACTCAGCAACCCCGCTCCCGGGGTCCTCGTGGAGCCTGTGTGTCTACGTGACTGTCAATGACTGATGTCCAGGGAAATAGCACTTGTCTCAGGAAACGGGGTGAATAGTTTCAGGCTTACTCTGGGTGCCTATTCTTGCTAGTATATTTCCAAATCTAACCAGAGCCCTGTCTGTCTGATTTTGCCCCTCCTCAGGAAGTTTCCTTCTCTTGGAAATGAAAGAGAGCGAGAGAGAGAGAGCGAGAGAGAGAGAGAGAGAGAGAGAGAGAGAGAGAGAGAGAGAGAGAGAGAGATGTGCAGATATCTAAATCATGTTGACTGAATCCCTGTGGGGTGGGGGAACCAGGATTTTTCCATACGTGTTTTCTACACTCTCTTTTGGAGTGATTTTTCAGTTTTGAGGCAACTTCCTTAGAACCAGGTAGTTGGTCTTTAGCTACACACTAAGTGGTTTGGCAGAAAACCAGCTTCTGGTCTTTCAGCTTCTTCCTCCACTACTTAGTCTCTTGCCTTGTGTTACAACCGCCTTGCTAGAGTCGTCAGGTAAGGAACAACACCTTGCCCCTTGTCACTCCTGTTTTCCTACTTGTTTCTGCTTCAGTAGACAGAGAGAATGCTAATTAGAGAATACATGACCATAGTCACCCAACTTCAGTGCACACAGAACCTGTTCCTAAGTTGGATGTTGCGTTGAACCCAGAGTCAACCTGATGGTTGCAGGTGACAGAATGAGTTTGGACTAAAAGAACTTAAATGGGCTATCCTCCACAGGGGTCATAAGAATAAGACTTGGAACAACCCTTTCAGAATGCAAGTGGTGATAAGGATGGAGATCTTTAAACATAAATGTGTATACTGTCTGACGCAGCACTCTCACATCTTAATACATAACCATGCCTAGGTAGAAACTATTTCCAAACAGGAAACTTCCTAAATCATCAATATTGGTGACTCACTACATAAATGGTAGATATAGAAAATGGCAAACTAAGCCAGGCGGTGGTGGTGCACACCTTTAATACCAGCACTTGAGAGGCAGAGACAGGAAGATCTCTGTAAGTTCGAGGCCAGCCTGGTCTATAGAGCAAGATCCAGGACAGCCAAGGCTACACAGAGAAACCATGTCTCAAAAAAAAAAAACAAAACAAAACAAACAAACAAAAAAATTAAATAAGGGCCAGGTTCGGTGGTGTCCATCTTTAATCCCAGTGCTAGGGAGGCAGAGGCAGGGTGACCTCTGTGAGTTCGATTCCAGCCTGGTCTATAAAGTGATTTCCAGGTCTACATAGAGAAAACTTGCCTCAAATGTCAAACAAAAAGTAAACAAATATAGACAGAGACCTATTTTTTGTTTGTTTGTTTTGATACAGGATCTCACCATGTAGTCATGGCTACCCTAGAACTATCTGTCTCTGCCTCTCAACCTCTGGGATCAAAAGGCATGTACCACCATGCTTAGGCAAATTTCTTTTTATTGCTACCTTCTGCATCTATTACTTCCTGGTACAGAGCACATGCTCAGTAAATATTTGTTTAATAACCAAGTAGACAAATGAACTAGCAGGCACAGAACTTGAGTCCAGTATTCTGTCTTCAAAATTTAGATGCTTCCCAATGTACCTCACTTTTCTCTCGACACGTGATGCTCATTTGTAGATAAGTATCTTTGAACTCTGCCCCAGACATGGAATAATATAGCTAGAAGGCAGCTGACAGAATCGAACCATATTTGGGAGTTTGTAGTAGTGGTGAACACCCAGGGGGAAAGTTATAAAACCACAAATAATCTATTATTAGGTGTTTTTGTTGTTATTTTTGTTTTTCATTTTTACTAGCTTTTGCTCTCCAAACAAACCCATGCTGCAGACAATAGGGGCTGTGTATTTTACAAATGTGAGGGCTCAGAGAATTTACAGGCCTGCCTGAGGCCACACAGCAAACAGTATAAAAGCTATATTTCCCATGGACTCTCTTCTTCCCACTTCTGCCATTTCAAACAAACATTTGTCCAAATCCTGTTGCTCAATCCATGCTTGCCTCTGTGATTACCTAGCCAGGAAAGTATGGGCTCTGAAGTCAAGCTGACTGGTTTGGAATCTTGTTTTACCTGCTAAGTTCCTAGTCATGTGACAGACATATGAGTTAACTTCTCCGCGCCTCCGCTTCCTGACTGGTTTATGATGGGAGCAACGGTAAGACCACTCACAGAAGTGTTGGGACAGTTCAGCGAGATTATAAGTGAATGCACCTAAAGAGCGGTCAGGCGCTCCAATTATTATGATCTGGGAAAAGAAGAAAAGTAGAGCAGGAAAAGGAGAGGAGAGAGAATCAAGGCCGGTTCACCAGTCCAGCTAACCCTGCCCTCTACAGAGTGCTGTGTGTTCTAAGCCCCCATAAGGTACGGCTCTAGGGTTCGAGCCAGGACGTGAGGGGTGGAGGAAGGCACGGTCTCTCCAGGCCCTCTCTGATTCTCAGGATTTCATATCCACCACCCACCGGAGACGGTCCCCTCCACCTCTCGACCCTACTCACCAGCTTCCCCCACAGCACAGCCTGTTTCCCATGGCGGATGTGTCTCCCAGGAAGCCCAGCTGGTGTTCCGACATAAAGAGGTTTGCGCATTTCCTGGTTCGCTGTTGAGCGAAGCGCAGCAGCTCCCAGGGAGTCGCTGTCAGTGTCAGATTTCAACCTAGTAGGTTGGCCCTTGGAAACCACCTGGTGGAATCATTCCCAGGTGACTGTTCCCAGCCGGAGGGTAGAAACACGCAAGGACTCTAGGTGAGAGTTATCGCACCTTTGGGATTTGACGCTTCTTTTGATGAAACTTTGAGCTGCAAGCTTCGTTTTAAAAAGAAACCTGAGATACAAAAGGGCTCCGAGTCTCCACAGGAAATATTTCTCCCTGCATCTCACTGCCTTTGAAATATATCCTTAACCGAGCACAGCCCCCCCCCCCTCACGTCCGCCCTACCACCCTCAGGTTTGAGTTTTACTGTCAAGGTAGTTGGTGCAAGTTTCTTATGTCCGCAACAATATTGATTTGAATCCTAGACGCTTTTGGAACCTGAAATGGGGGGAAATGGAATGCTCTCACGTTCTCACTATTAGAATTAGTGCACGCAAACCTCCTAGCCGATTACCATCTAGATTTCCAGCACAGTGAAGCATAAGCGCCCCGGATGCATTACCTAATACTCTTTCTGGTATAAACCAGATGGTTCTGTGGTTGGGATGGAGCACTGACTGTCCTCTTCCCAGTTTAGGACTACAAAATCTCCACCTACACCTGGCTGGAGTTTCTGCCTCCAATGACCCAGATCTGGACCCATTACTCACTGACCAGCATCTATGACACAGCTGAGCGAATTCCCTTAGAAAATACATTTCCAGGTTGGGTATGGTGGTGCATGCCTTTAATCCCAGCGTTCGGGAGGCAGAGGATTGGGGATCTCCGTGAGTTTGAGGTTAGCTAGTCCACCGAGCAAGGTCCAGGACAGCCAGAAATTCATAGAGATACCCTGTCTCAAATCAACGGCAACGACAAAAGGGAAAAAGACGACTCCAAGAAAATCTTTGGAGCCCATAATTCCAATCCTAAACGTTTTCTTGGCATCTTAAGTGTTGTCCTGTGATGTCCATAATCAGCCCTGCACTCCACAGAGTATGTTGGTTTCTGAACTCCTCCCCACCTGAGTAAAAATGGGAATGAGAGTGGTCGCCTTCTCCATTCATGAGTCTTGAATGAGATGTATATATATATATATAAAGCTTTAGTCCAGGGCCTGGCCCATGGAACTCACTCAGTAAGTCTTAGCTATTCTTACTATTATTACTTCTTGTTCTCAGCCACTGATCAGATGGTAAAGCATTTTATTTTACTATCTCTTGTTCCAGTCCTTGCACACGCTGCAGGCCGTTCTGTATTTTGCTATTAACTATATTCTTTTCATCCTGTTACCTGCTTCATCTCTCTGACTCAAAAGCCAGGAGTCATTTCCTGTTACTTATGGGATAGAATTCTCAAAGCCCTTCCCAACCTGCTCCATTGCCAGCCACCTCTTCAGGTAATTTACAGGGGGCCAGAAACTCCACAGGGAAGACAAAAAGCACTTGGGTCTAAAACCTGATATGCCTTTAAGCAGATTAATACAAGCGTAGAGCGATAACATAGACGAATGACTATTCTATTGAAATCTGACCTGGACAGTCCGCGTCTGGAATCATTTTAGTTGACTTTCAAGCTCCATTGTCAGTGTGTTACAAAAGAAAGTTGTATGTGTGTGTAGGGTGGGTACAGAAAGTGCTACAGCTGTGGCTGGAAGGACGAAGCACTATTGCAGTGTGTTTGGGGGCGGGAGGAGCTTTAGAAGAAATGAGCCAGCATGCAGGATGCCCTGTGTGGCCGAAGTCCTGAGTGAATGTATATTTTGATACGGGCTCAGCCTTTCGAGTATGGATGTTTATGAGCAATTGATCAGTGTGTACAAAGACTAGCAACTTCGACCTCCTCCTCCCCAAAGTTTGCTGACCTTTCCCTGTGCTTTATCTAATAAACATGCTGGGGTACTAGAGAACCTGAACCCGGCCTCATTATATGTTTGTCTGTGCATCTGTTCGTCATCCCCTTGACATCCCTTGCTAGGGTTCCAGGACCCAAGCCTTTTAAGATTCTGTGCCAGCCTGTAGTTGCAGATATTCTGGATATTCTGGAATCTGAGGTAGGAGGGGATATATATATATATATATATATATGTGTGTGTGAACTCACAGAGATCCACCTCTCTCTGCCTCCCAAGTCCTTGGATTAAAAGTGTGTACCACCACCTCCCAACTACTTTAAAAGAATTTTGATGAAGTGGAAGTTTGTATTAAATTAGAGATTTTCAATTTTCAAATGTTTCCTCCTTCTTTTTTTTTTTGAGACAGGGTTTCACTATAGTTTTAGAGCTAGCCTGTCCTGGAACTAGCTCTAGTAGACCAGGCTGGCCTTGAACTCACAGAGATCATCTGCCTCTGCCTCGCAAGTACTGGGATTAAAGGCGTGCGCCGCCACCACCACCCAGCTAAATGTTTCCTTCTTAAAAAGTCTTTTTTTTTTTTT